CTGTGAGCTCTACAAAAACTAGTAGAGGGCTGGATTGAATGCATAGGCTATAGTTTGCCAACCCCGATCAATAAAATGAAAAGCTGGACTAAAACATATTTCATCTTGACATCATATTGTCCTAGCTGGGGGATTCTTGACTTAATCTCATTAAATGTGTATGTAGCTTATCCTGTATAGATCTGATTGAACCTTTTATCAGAATTCTTAATTTCAACTATTTAGAACTCTGCTGAAGAATTTAGAATTTATGTGTTTGTGACTCAAGTTCCAAGAACATTTATTCATCATTTATTTACTCATCAGGTACTCTTTACTGAGATTACTGGGAAAGGGATGATCTTTGCTGTATCTGCATCTCTCCATTGCAGTAATGTCTTTAATGTTTTATAATAGACCTATTTTGATGGAAAGTAGATAGAAAATCAGTATTACTTGTAAAAATCAAAAAGATAATTGTAAAAATTAGATGAAACAGTGTCATTTGCCAGAAAATCCTGAAACTGAGACATTGTTTCTTTTTGTTAAAAAGAGATTATCAAACTTTTAGAGATGTTAAAAGTAAGTTAACAAGCTAATGTGAAAGTTTGAAAGAGAACGGAAAAAACTTTCTAACTGGATGCTTCATGTAGCTACAGTTACCTTTAATTGCTTTATACTAGGAAACCTTTTCATATCTGATAGCACTTGAGTCTTATTAAGAAACTCTAGGGACTTCCCTGGTGGTCCTGTGGCTAAGACTGAGCTCCCAGTGCAATGGGCCTGGGTTTGATCCCTGGTCAGGGCACTAGATCCCACATGCTGCAACTAAGACCCAGCACTGCCAAGTAAATGAATAACTCTAGGGCTCTCTAGGTCATTCAGTTGAAATACCAAATTATGTTATTAAGGATTTTCGGATAGTAATCAGGTAGAAGATTTTGGAGGTTTGTATAGTAATCTATAATTCATAACCAGTGGTCTCAAGTCCTTAATTTTTAATGATAGTCTTAGGAAACTCAGCACAAATGTTCTTTTAAGAAAACTTTACAAGTACTTCTTTAGACTGGCTATTTGATGTAGAAGGGATTTAGTCCTTTGCCACTAAATTGCCTCTGAAAAGTGTGTTAGGATTCATAATCTCAGCAGAGTCATGCACTACAAAGTATTCAGTAAAGTAAGTTTTCTAGAAAATTGTTAGAGAAAATAAAGTTGGTTAATCGCTGATTGAGAATTAGAAGAACCATTATCGCTTGACTTTGAGCTTTCTTTGCAATACTGCTTCTTGATGAACTCTAAGTTGGTCCATATTACAGGCTTTGGGCTATCACTTAACAGTTCATAGTATGCAGTTGTTTTGTACCAGCTTTTGCAACCATGTGAGAGATGGATACTATTAGACTCAGAGAAGTTAGACCCTTTGCCTCACACAGCATATCCAATTACTGGTAGAACCAAAAATTGAACCATTGTGATTTTTTACCTGTTTTAAGTAAAATTCATTCTTAATCTGTGTTATTTGAGTCTAATCTTTCTCTTACAAGCTGAAAATCATTCTCTTTCACTCCTGGAAATTCTCAAGACCCTTTCCTTTTCCCTTCAGCTTTTTAGTTCCTTTATACTGTTTATGGAGTGGTATCCTTGTTCTATTCTAAATTTAAAAGAAGTGCATTGGATATTTACCAATTTTCTGTAAATTTTTGGCAAATAACTTATCAAGTTAATGAATGCTTTCCTAAGACTTTTTTTTAAATCATAAGTGAATTTTGAATTTGATTATGTCAAAACCACAATGAGGTACCATTGCACACCAGTCAGGATGGCTGCTATCCAAAAGTCTACAAGCAATAAATGCTGGAGAGGGTGTGGAGAAAAGGGAACCCTCTTAAACTGTTGGTGGGAATGCAAATTAGTACAGCCACTATGGAAAACAGTGTGGAGATTTCTTAAAAAGCTGGAAATAGAACTGCCATATGACCCAGCAATCCCACTTCTGGGCATACACACCGAGGAAACCAGATCTGAAAGAGACACGTGCACCCCAATGTTCATTGCAGCACTGTTTATAATAGCCAGGACATGGAAGCAACCTAGATGCCCATCAGCAGATGAATGGATGAGGAAGCTGTGGTACATATACGCCATGGAATATTACTCAGCCATTAAAAAGAATTCATTTGAATCAGTTCTAATGAGATGGATGAAACTGGAGCCCATTATACAGAGCGAAGTAAGCCAGAAAGATAAAGACCATTACAGTATATTAACACACATATATGGAATTTAGAAAGATGATAACGATAACCCTATATGCAAAACAGAAAAAGAGACTCCTATGTATAGAACAGACTTGTGGACTCTGTGGGAGAAGGCGAGGGTGGGATGTTTCAAGAGAACAGCATCGAAACATGTATATTATCTAGTGTGAAACAGATCACCAGCCCAGGTTGGGTGCATGAGACAAGTGCTCAGGCCCGGTGCACTGGGAAGACCCAGAGGGATCAGGTGGAGAGGGAGGTGGGAGGGGGGACCGGGATAGGGAATACATGTAAATCCATGGCTAATTCATTTCAATGTATGACAAGAACCACTGCAATGATGTAAAGTAATTAGCCTCCAACTAATAAAAATTAATGGAAAAAAAAAAAGAATTTGATTATGATTCTTTTCATTTATTGAGATAATCACTTGACTTTTTCCTCCTTTAATAGGTTTATATAGTAAATAAAATATACATATTAAATCTCTCTTGCATCCTTGGATATACTTAGCTCGCTTATGATATATTAATATCATTATTTTTATCTTTAGAATCAATTTGTAACTACTGATTCAACTTCATGTTAATGTGATAGGATGATGAATTATGTTAATTTCTTCTTGCAACTTTAGTAAATTAATTTTTTCCTAGAATTTATTGTTTTGTGTAATCTTTTAAGTGTTTTGGCTTAAAGTTGTTCATAATATACACACTCTTAGGATCTGTATGAATAGACAATTTAGTTGTTGGGGAAGCTTTTCGGTTTTGGTTTCTTTGTTTGATCTTCAGTTCATTCATTCATTTTAGTATCTGTTAAGGACTTACCAAATTCTATGTCCTGTGCGTTACCTATTCTTAAAGTTTTTAGTGTTGATTTTTTTTCTTTACTCTCACCCAGATAATCCAGGACCTTATAGGACAGCCATAATATGAACCTGCTGGGTTCATACTTCCTGATTTTATTTTTACATATAGAAAAATAAACAATATATGTAAATACATAGATAATGATTATAGGACTGTTGTGTATATTTCACAGTATAGTGTGATGTATCTTTGCATCTGTATGTAAAGATAAATAATATAAATGGATATAGGACTGTAATATATGAGCATGAAGATTTATCCCTTTAATGTGACTGATTTGTTTGGGTTGAATTTAAAGGTGTATTATTCTTACTTGAAAGGTTACTCTTGAAAACTTGCTGGATACAACTTAATGAAGAAAGTTGAATACTGTTGTTCCCTGAATATTCATCTTTCATCAGACAGTTCTTAACATACATTTTTTAGCCACTTTGTGGCTAAGTATTAGCATAAGCACTGAGGAACAAAATGAGTAAATCTCAGAAGTCTTTACTGTATTAGTAAATTCTACTAGGAAAACATTTTATAAGGAACCATACAGCTGAAATATTACCCATCTTAACTGAAAATACAGTTTAACTGTAGTTAAAGAAAATATTGTCACAGCATGAAGTTCAAGTAAAGTATATTCAGCTGATGGTTGTATACCTTTGTGTGGAGTAGGTATAGATCACAATGAAGAGTTTTTTGTAATGTAAGTTATTCTTTGAATAAATTATTCTTTTTTGCCTAACATGGAAGTCTTGACAGATATTTCTGGAGCTGGTATATCTTAGGGGGATTCTTGTTAGTAGGCACCACTGCTGGTGTCTCTCGATGTGACTGGATGAGAGAAAGGCTGGTTTTCTTCTCTTTCTAGAGGTCTCGGTCCATTCCCTGTTTTGAACCATGTTTGTGAGGTTGAGAGATCACCTTTCACAAAGAATGAAGGAGTGGGGATTTGGAGAGTAACTGCTTTTGAACCTTCTGTAGAATCTTTTCCTTTGTGACCCTTCTGTAGAATTTTGGCAGCTCTTAATTTGGAATGTGATGTCATGTTTGTGAACAAAGCAGTCGATGGTTTCAGAAGGCCCAGTGCCATATTACGAACTGGCATGAAAAATATATCTTTGCATATACTTCTCTGTGTGTGGGCACCATAGATTTCCTTTGATATCCTGTTTGAGTGCTCCTTGGAAGGTTAATTAATATATGTGTGTATGTTTGGGGAAAAGGTTGGAGGGAGGAAAAGGAATAGTGGTATGATGTATAATGTCTTAATCCATTGGTAGTGATACTGTGAAACAATAGTGGTTGACTGTTTTAGGCCATCAGTTGTAGGGATATCAATGCAGTAGTTGGTTTACAACTTTCATAAAGGTTTTTCCAAAAACCAAAGATTCTAATTTAGAGAATATATTAAATTCGCAGAAGCCCATAGGAAAAATATTTTAAAAAATAGGTACTTGAAATTTGTTGTTTAGAAGTTATTAAGCTTTTTGGAAACACAGAAGGTTTAAACTGCAAGGAAAATGTCTGTTAGAAACTACAAAATCGAGATTTCCCTGGTGGTCCAAAAGCTAAGACTGCTCTTCCAGTGCAGGGGGCCTGGGTTCAATCCCTGGACAGGGAGCTAGATCCTGCATGCCACAACTAAGACCCAATGCAGCCAAATTAAAATAAATAAATAAATGAGTAAAAAAAAAAAACTACAAAATATTTTAAATAGTATATAAAATCAAAAGTTAATTCATTTTCTATTTTGAGTAACCTGCAAAATGAGATTGAAATCTGTTGTGTGACTAAAAATATATCTATTCAATTCCATATAAGAACTTTTAAACAGTTTTATTTTACTGCCATTGCCTTTTATTATTTATTGACCTTTTGTTTAATAACTTTGGGTTGACTTTAGGCCACCAACAAAATGGAAATGAAAGAGATTGCTAAATACAAGACTCTATGGAAAATGAACTCAACCAGTGAACCTTTATTTGTTACTGGCGTAAATGGCAATCCTTTGAAAAAATTCACCATTCCCAAGATCAGGAGGACAGCTGGGAAAGGTAATAATTCTATGGAAGATGGGATTATTTCATAACTATTACTGCATTTCTCTGATCTTAGTTTATGCTCATCTTCTATTTTGACTCTGCATATAAAATTAGCTTAAGTTAGGCCTTTAATTCCGTAAACACACATACTTTTTTTCCCACACAAAGTAAGATAGACACGTATCTCCTATCACTCCCACTAAGTACACAGTTAAAAACACTGGACATCACACATAAAACAAACAAGACTTTGAAGGGTGGAGAGAAGATGAGCCTGTGTGGGACCCTGGGAGTTGAGGATTGACATAGCATTAAGTTCTTCACATTTTCTTTTTGTTTCCTTCATGTCTCAAACTGGATGACCACAACTGAGAAATGCCGACTTTTACAGACACAAAAGCCCTAAGAAAAATCTGTTGTGTTTTGCCAAGGACTGGGAGTAGGGTAACTTAGAATGTCAGAAACCTATCTGACAGTGAACACTCTATTCCAGCAAAACGCCTGGAGGAAGAAACAGCCCAGCATCTGTTCCTTTTCTCATCCTAGACTTCCTCCTCCACCTCCACCCACGCCGGTGCCTTTCCCTTCGTGGAGCTTCATACGGTCCCCCCTCTGCTGTCCCTGCCCCTGCATTGTCTGGATTTCTGCCCCTGCCCTGTGGTGAGGAGTTGCCGTGGGGATGAGACACTCGGTGGGAGCAGTCAGTGAAGACCAAGAGGGGAACCTGGATTTCTGTCACATACATCAGCAACAGGGTGTCTGTCCCCCTGCCACAGGCTCAGTGGAGGCTGAGTCAGGAGCATCGGCTCCTACCTCTTTCTCCTGGTAACAAGACAGCCGCCCACCCCACCCCAGTGCACCCCGCCTCCACCCCGATCACCACCAGGGTGTCAGCGGAGACCCCGTGGAGAGCCAGTACTTCCTGGTAGTACAGAGTTAGTCTTCCCATCCCGTGCTTTCTCCTACAGGCACAGTTAACCCTGTGACTTAGTAGAGGCTGTTACCACACAGGATTGAATATGATCTAGAGTCTCTTACCAGTATCCCAAATGACCAAAGTATTTAAAAAATCATCTTACCACCCATCAGGAAAATCCCAACTTGAGTGAGAAAAGAAGAATCAACAAATGCCAACAACACGATAAAACAGATGTTGAAATTATCTGACAAGGCTTTTAAACCAGTCATCATTTCCACCAATTAAAAAATTAAGTCATTCTATTGACATTTCAGCAACCAATTACAAACACTTTTGAAACAAATGGAAAATTGCAAGAAAGAAATGGAAAATGTGATAAAGAATTAAGAAGTTTTGGAACTGAAAAATGCAATAATTGAAATAAAAACTAATTGGATGGGTTCCAGAGAAGAGTTGAGAAGATTTTGGAAAGAAGTAGTGAATTTGACGATACAGTAACAAATTACCCAGCCTAAACAACAGAGAAGACATCAAATAACAGAGCCTCAGGAACCTGTGAAACAATAATAAAAAACCTAATTTCTTTGTTCTCAGAGCTCCAGAAGTAGAAGAGAGCATAGAGCTGAAAGAGTATTTGAATAAATACTGTCTGAAATTTCCCCAAACTTGGCAAAAGGCATAAACCTATATAATCCCAGATGGTGCAGTGGTAAAGAATTTGTCTGTCAATGGAGGAGATGCAAGAAACACAGGTTTGATGCCTGGATTGGGACGATCTCCTGGATAGGGAAATGGCAACCCACCCCAGTATCCTTGCCTGGAAAATCCCATGGACAGAGGAACCTGGGAGGTTATAGTCCATAGGGTCGTAAAAAGTCGGACGTGTCTTAGCATCTAAACAACATACATTCAAAAGGTTGAATGAACCCTAAACAGGATAAAGCCAGAGAAGTCCATGACAAGGCACATCATAATCAAACTTCTGAAAATTAAGAGTGGAGAAAAGCTTGACAGCAACTAAATGATTTTATTGGGGAAAAATTGAATGGCAGATCTCTCATTAGAAACCATGGAGCCCAGAGGAAGTGGCACAACATTTTTTAAGTGCAGAAAGAAAAGAACTGTACCCAGAAAAATATCCTCAGGAATAAAACTGAAATAGAAATTTTCAGATAAAGTAAAACTAAAAATTTTTCACTAGTAAATCTTAGTGTAGAATGGCTAAACAAAGTTTCCAAACAGAAAATGACGAAAGAAGCTGGAAACATTAGGAATGAAGGAGGAACAGAGAGTAGAAATACAGGGAAATATAATCGACAGTCCTCCTCTTGAGTTTTCTGATTTTGTTTGACAGTTGGAACAAGGACAGAGGAGCCTGGCGGTCGCAGTTCATGGGGTCACAAAGAGTCGGACATGAGCACACGTACACACAGTTATCTCAGAATTAAAAGTTGTTTATAAAGACACTATGGATAAATCAAAATGGAATTTTAAAAATGTTCAAGTAACCCACAGGATGGCAGAAAAAGTGAAGTAGAGAATTGAACAACTGAGGAAAAAATAAACAGTAAAATGGCAGGCTTAAGCCCTGTTGTATCAGTTATATTAAATATAATTTATCTCATACCAGTTAAGATGTTTACACAATGGATTGATTAAAACCATGACCCCACTATATACTGTTGACAAATACACTTTAAATATAGGGCTATAAGTTGGTTTAAAGTAAGTGTAGAGAGAAAGGTAAGCCATGTAAACAATCACAATAAAGCAGAGTGGCTATTTATATCAGTAGACTTCAGAGGAATGAAAATTCTGTAACAGAAGGGGATATTGCATAAATCCACTAGTAAGACACAGCAGTCCTAAATTGTATCCCTAAACAACAAAGCTTCAGAATCCATGAAAAAGCGCTGATAGAACGGAAAGGAAAAATGGGTAAATCTGGAATGGCAGTTGGTGATTTCAGTATACCTCTCTCAACAACCAGTTGAACTACTGAGACAAAAAAGTCAGTGAAGATACAGAAGAACTTAACTTTGTCAACTAACAAGATCTGATTGACATTTGCACATTATTATGACATTATACTCTACACAACAACAGTAAAACAGACATTCTTTTCAAGAGTTAATTTGATGCTCATCAGGATAGCCAATGTGTTGGGCCTTGAAACACATTTCAACATATTTAAAAGAACTGAAGTCAAATAATCTAGAAATTAATGATAGAAAGCATTAGATAAGTCTTTGAACACATGGAAAGTAAACAACACATTTCTAAATATTCATGAGATTACAAAAATACATTGGATTGAATAAAAAGGGACATGTAATTTATCAAAATTTGAGGGGAACAAAATCATAGCTGTCAGATTTATAACACTAAATACTTCTATTAGAAAATAGGTGTCAAACCAGTAGTCTTAAGTTTTCTTCTTAAGGAACTAGAAAAAGAAAAACAGGATAAGCCCATAACAAGCAGAAAGAAAAAAATGAAATTAAGGAGCTGGTTGCAAAGATGAAAAAAGAAGTTGATACACCTTTCGGAAGGTTACCTGTAGTGAGACTGACAAAAAAGATAAAAACTTGTAAATCCATGGCTAATTCATTTCAATGTATGACAAGAACCACTGCAATGATGTAAAGTAATTAGCCTCCAACTAATAAAAATAAATGGAAAAAAAAAAGATAAAAACTACCACTCTCAGAAATGGCATAGTATATCACTACTGAGCCACAGAATTGAAAAGCATAGCAAGAGAATATTATGAACAGATCTAAGTACATAAACTTTACAACTTAGATGAAATGGACTAGTTTGTTAAAAAGTACAAATTACCAAAACTCACACAGTACTAAATAGATCATTTAATAGCCTTATAACTATAGGCATTCCTTATTTTATTGCTCTTCACAGATAACTGTGTTTTTTACAAATTGAAGGTTTGTGGCAACACTGTATCTGGCAAGTCTCTTGGTGCCTATTTTCCAACAGTAATCACTCACTTTGTGTCTCTGTATCAAATTTTTGTAATTTTCACAGTATTTCAAACTTTGCTGTTACATTTGTTAATGATCTAGTGATCTTTGATGCTACTGTTGCAAAGAGATTGTGACTCCCTGAAGGCTCAAATGATTGTTAGCATTTTTGTAGCAATAAAGTATTTAAAATCAAGATTATATATATTGTTTTTTAAACATAATGCTGTTGCACACTTAATAGACTTTATTGTGGTGGTCTGGAGCTGAACACACAATGTCTCCCAAGATGTGTCTGTATTATAGAAATTGAATTCATAGTTGAAAAAAATCTGTTGGAAAAGAAATCCTCAGGCCAAGATGGTTTCACTGGAGAATTCTACTCAACATTAAAGAAAGGAGCTAATACAAATCCTTTACAGTTTCTTCTATAAAATAGAAGAGGAAAGAATAACTATTAGTATAGTATTTCCTGGTACCAAAGCTAAACAAATGTAATACAAAAAAAGAAAACTACAGACCAATACCCATCATGAACCTTAACATACAAATTCTATACAAAATATAAAGAAATAATATTCAGCAATGTATAAAATGAATTATTTATTATAACCAAGGGAGTTTTATTCAAGGGATGCAAGACTGGTTTGGTATCTGAAAGTCAGTCTGTATTCACAGGACAAGGAATAACAATCACATGATCATATAAATTTATGCAGAAAAAACTTGACAGAAATCAACATTCATGATAAAGACTCAGCACACTAGGAATATAGAACTCTGCCTGATAAAAAGAAGTTATGTAAAAAATACATATAGCTAACCTCCAGAACGAAAACCACAATCCCAGAAAACCAATCAAAATGATCATATGGACCACAGCCTTGTGTGACTCAATGAAATTATGAGCCATGCTGTGCAACACCCAAGATGGATGGGTTATGATGGAGAGTTCTGACAAAACGTGGTCCACTAGAGATGGGAATGGCAAACCACTGCAGTATTCTTGCCCTGAGAATCCCATGAAAAGTATGAAAAGGCAAAAAGATATGACACTGGAAGATGCGCCCCCCAGGTCAGTAGGTATCCAACATGTTACTGGTAAAGAGCAG